TGTGTGTGTGTGTGTGTGTGTGTGTGTGTGTGTGTGTGTGTGTGTGTAAATGAGGCCTCTCTCCCTCTGTGGCCCCACGCCCTACTCCTCCTCTTTCCCTGAGGCCCTGTCCCTCCGACCAAGCCAGAGCTGGGTCAGGGAGCCTGGGCCCCTCCATCTGCCTGCGGATTGGGGGGGGGGGGGGGGGCTGAGAGCAGTCCCCCCCCCATGTCCCCTGCCCAAGGCAGATGTAGGGTCTGCATCTTCCCACAGCTGCCTGCATGGCTCTTACCCCGACCCGCCTGGCCTGGCCTGGGGTGGGGCCTTGGGAGCAGGAGAAGCGCAGCTGGGCCATCGTAAAAACTGCCTGGGCAGCTGTGGGAAGCCGTGGACCCTCTATCTGCCCTGGGTGGGGGTCGGGGACAGGGGCTGCTCTCAGGCGCCCCCACCCCAGGCAGGTGGAGTTTCCACGGCTCCCTCAGCTGCCTGGGTCCCCCGGGCCTCTCTTACCTGGGTCAGGCTCCTGCTTCCTGCTGAGCTTGGGGGCGGGGCCTCAGCAGGTTGAGGAGGGGCGGGGGGCCAGGCCTGTGGTGAAAAGTGGATGGGCCAGGCCTGTCCACTTTCAAAAGTGGGAGGGCCATGGCCCCATGGACCCCCCCGTTCTGGCGCCTCTGCTGCTGAACTTCTGGCAGGAGACCAGAAGACTGCAGCCGCAAACACCTTCTCATAGTTAGGGCAGATGCCAGGACTCAAGCCACAGAGTCAGCTGCAGCCAAGCTGGCCTGAAGAGCTGTTCTGGCCACTAGTTTGCCCTCGTCCATAATCACAATGAATTCTTGTCTGCAGTTGTCAGGTAACCGGTCTTTAGACTTCAACATGTTATCCCACAAGGTGAAGTCATACTGACCTAGACGTTCCTGTTGATTTGCAATGCAAACGTGCAGATCTGCTGCAAAATAAAGTTTTCAACCAAAAAGATCTAGCCTCTTTGAATCTTTCCCTTTTGGAGTTGATGCCTTGTGTCCTTGCCTCTCCAATGCATTAGCTGTGGCAAGTACTAAAGAGCCTGGAGGGGTGTGTCTGTACAGATATTCAAAACCCTTAGAATGGACAGAGTATCTCCTCTCCGCCTTTTTTTCGCTACGGAGTGGGGAGGGAAGATGGGGTCTGTTATAATACCTTGATTGGCTCCAAAATTGCCTCATCGATCAGTAGTGCCCAATTTTTTTTTAAATAAGTCCTGGCTATAATCTTCTGATGTGGAAGAGTCACTCATTGCCTCTACAGCCTCATCTGGTCATGAGTAAGAGGATGCAGATGGATGCTGAGACAGCATTTGCTCTATTTCCATGTGCTGGAGAAACTGCTGGAATGTCTTCCACTTGCTCGGTACCAGTCCTGGTATCAACTATAGGAAGATGATGTTTCTGGTGCTGATGCACTCATCGTGCACCCCAGGAGATAGACTGAGGTGGATGAAGGGATGACCTGGCAGGTTGGGGGAAAAAGCTGCATAGGGTCCAGAAAGGCCTCTGACATGGTCCTGGGGTCCATTCTTAACCAGGCCATTGCTCCTTGACAGGTGGCTGCTGTAAGACCCATGGCACGTAAGTCTCAGATGGAGAATGCACACTGTACCTAGGTTGAGACACATAAGACCCAACCTGTGGTGTATGAAGACTCAGACCTTTGATAACAGGGGAGCAGAACTCATTGTCACCAGAGAGAGAGCGTACCTGACTCTGGAGATGGTAGTACCAGGGAAATCATAGTCGGCTTCCCTCTTCTTGACAGTACTGTTTTATGAGGCAAGGAAAGAGTCAATTGCAAGGACACTGCAAGCTTCAGAAGCCTGAAGGCTGGAAGCCTAATCAACAGAACCAGCTGGAAGCCTTCCTGCCCCGCTGGAACCAATATTGAGAAGTTAAGTAGCTCTCTAGTAGCTGCGTACCATTCCAGTGTCAACTGTACCAGCATAGTCTCTTGGGCTTGCGGTTTTCCAGAAGATAGCCTGAAGAAGCTACAGTGAATACTTCAGGAGTCCATCTCAATGGAGCTGGCACAGGTTAACAACCTCCTCTTCTTAGATTAAGAGTATTCCGGGAAGTGCCTCCTCTTAGAGTCCCTCCAGGAATTCTTGCCTTTAGGGAGGATTCAATACTGATGATCTTGCTGAGTTAGGTACCAAGTCCCTAGAAATCTTGTGCCTCTTTCTCAGCTCCAATGACAGACAACTCAGGCAGAGCACTCGAACAAACTCTTACGTATCTGATGCCTGCTCTGAAAAGGACGGCACTAAGGATAGACAGAATGCTGACTCTATATGGAGACACTCTGTCCTTCTCTGAGTTAGTCTTAAATCCTTTGCAGATGTGACACTCGTCACTCACATGGGATTTCCTCAAGCATTTCAGGCAGCTGGGGTGTGGGTCACTCACTGGCATCAATTTGCTACATGAACAACATGATTTAAACCCCGGAGATGGAAGTGTAGCTCCAGTACTGAAATTTAAAACTGGCCAGACTAAAGACCTATGGTGGAATGGACATGTGCAATTACTTAAAGAAGAACTAATCTTAATACAAGTATCAGAAAGCTGATTGAAGAAGTAGTGCCCACACTAAGTTCTTTCCAGACATACAAGAAGGAGTAGTCCCTGCCTCAAGAAGCTCAGAATCTTAGGATGGACAGACAGGCAAACACAAAAAGGATTTTCTATACAAATCAACAAGATAGGTAACTTAGCAGAAGTTGTTTTATATGAGGAACATAAGAGACAGGCTGCATGTTCTGTTTATCCTACCCCCTCCACAAAATGTTATTTTACAAATGATTCCAGGTAGTTTAAGACAGACACTTCATAGTTGTATTACTCCAAAGTTAAGTTATGAAACACTAACACACTACACAAATAGTAATCAAAGTTAACCTGATTATCATTTACTTATGAGATCATCAGGATTTGTACTTACTTGAGCTCTCTGCTAAGCACTATATTAATTCTGTCTTTTAAGGGGCGATTCTTCTCAGGAATTGAGAACCAGGTCCTCTTACCCATTATCAACACATTCTGTTTACCTGTGTAATATACAAAACATTTTTTAAAAACTGTTTCAACTTAGTATAGAATCAGAGGTGGTGGTTTAGTGACATCTAGTGGATTTATCCCCCCCAATCTCCTTTGAATTCTATTTAAACAGTTAATATGTTCAAGTGCAAATTTTAAACATTAGCAAGACTAAATGTAAGTAAAAGATCAAACTTAGGCCCGGATCCTGTGATTGCTCATGTGAATAAAGTAACATACATACATAAGTGTTTGCAGGATCAAGGCCCTGGTATGCACTCTTTTAAAAAGCCAAACAAAAAATGTAAGTTTCAAATATAAAACTGTATGACTTATGATTAACAGAGTATCTATACTATCCAAAAGAGGACAGCTTCGTGGCTGCTTTGATTTGGCCCTAACTTCCTGGAACCCTGGTTCTTTTCACTAGAAACAAGTTATAACATGTTCAGTATGTGATATTTAAACTTAAAAGCATTTCAAATATCTCTTTCCCTAAAAATGTAGGATCTACATCCCACAACATTATAGAAAGACGATTTTGCCACTGCAAACATTTCCAGAAAGCTAGTGCAAGGTAGGAGACAAACTGGGACTGTTTTACAAAGCTGGACTTTGTGTCAAACTTAACATCAGCATTTTAAAACGTTAGTGGCAAAAATTAGATTATTCACACCAGCATTTAGTGTACTAGCTTAGTAGAACACCACCACTGCATGATGCACTGTGTAAAACTAAAGTGTACATTTGAAAGCACTGACAGCCATGCATAGAATTAGGTGTAAACTGAAGCTACACACAAGCACAATAATGCTGGTAAAGATAAAGCTTCTACTTGTTGGGAAACTTTCTTTTTGTAAGATCTGGGACCCCAGCTACAAGTGATAATGCTATTTTGGAAACTCTTGAACTAGTCTGCATCCCCCCCCGTCAATTAATACTTTCATTTTGAAATCTAATAAGCCATGCATTTTACTTTGAGGTTTCTCTTTGCAACAATGAAAACAAAATAGAAAGATACATATCAATATGTATCTGAATTATGTCATGCCAAGATGTGCAACTATTGCACTATGAGATGAAAGGGGGTAGATTTAGGCTTGTGGTGAAGCATTTATAACTTTAAAAGGAACACTGTTCAAGAACATTCCATCATAGTTGGGCAAATTTACAAGGATGAAAACATCAGGTAAAATTTGTTGCAATATCTTTAAATTAGATTTCCAGCAAGGAAACCTCTCTCAATTAACATTAGATATTAGGATGTTCAATAGGGCTTGACTACATGGAAGTTTTGCACTAGTTCAAGTCGAGTTAATCTGCATCTAAAACACTAGCATACATGTGTCACTGTATCATAGTGCATTCACTCTGCACTTACTGCATTCTGGAATCCTCTTGCAAAGTGGACTAAGTTTGCGGCAAATTGAATTAGTTTGGTCTGTTGTTTGTGTGGAGGCAACAGCTGCACATCACTATTTACATGCCTCCAATGGCTATTCCACACTGCTTCGAGGTTGACTATTACTGACCTATCTACTGACATGTATGCCTTCGTCTGCTCTGGTGTCAAGTTCCCAGGGAAATCCACTCCCCCATTTAAAAGCTGACACCTGGGGCCAGATTTGGCCCATTTGGTCCTGGGTTTGAGTATTTCAGCATGCTTGTGATACTACAGCAACTCTACTCCACAAACACCAGAAGATGCTGCTGCTTGTAGCTGTGCTGAGACCATGGATCTCACAGCCATCTGGGGAGAAGCATCAGCGCAGGAAGATCTTGTGTCCAGCTATTGTAATAAAGCCTGTTTGTGGACATTGCAAAGCAGGTCTGTGAGGGGTCATGGCTGGGCACCTATCAGTGCTGAATAAAGAGCAAGCAGTTCAGGAGGGTCTACATTAAAATCAGGGATGCAAGGAAAATATTAGGCAGGGGACATGTGACCTGTCCATTTTATGACTAACTGGACTGGATTTCACACAATTATACAGCCACCCACCCCAAACAGTTTGTGGATCCTCCTGCCAGGTCTCTTCCCTGCCCCCACTTGAGGAAGACTGGCAATAATCACTGGAGGATTAGCAGGAGAGGAGTTGTCTCCTGAAAGTCAGGATCTGTCTGGGACTCAGGACTCTGACGCACAACAGGTTGAAACCCAACCCAATTCTTGCCCTGCATTGGCCAAGCCCAAGTCCCAGCCAGAAGCCCAAAGCAGGACTGAAGAGGCAGATACTCCAGGGGAGAACTTCAGCGTGTAACTACCTACACCTCTACCCCGATATAACACGACCTGATATAACACGAATTCGGATATAATGTGGTAAAGCAGTGCTCCGGGGGGGGGGGGGGGGCGCGGGGCTGCGCACTCTGGCGGATCAGAGCAAGTTTGATATAACACGGTTTCACCTATAACACGGTAAGATTTTTTGGCTCCCGAGGACAGCGTTATATCGAGGTAGAGGTGTGTCCTTTACAGTTTACTAATTATTATTGTGTTAACTTGCTAGCTTCTGTTCTGGGTGCCCCATGGTGGCAGCCATTCTGACTCAGTGAAAACAGTCCCAGGATGCATGCTGTAATGAAGCAACAGACCATGGGATACCCTCTGAGAGCACAACACCCTCAATTTGCAAAAAGCCATCACCATATGAACACACAATTCAAACTGAAAAAATGGAACAGGCTTTCCACATGCACGCTGTTGGTGTAGTTTGCATACAGTGCTTTACCAGATGCACAGCATCTGTGTGAACAAGCCCTTATGAAAGGAAGTGTATTACAAGGATGTAAGGAAGTCTCTCAGAGAGAAAATCAGCTATGGAAATAAGAGCTTTTTTCAAAAAAGGGATTAGATCAGTGGTCCCCAAACTTTTCATGGTCATGCTCCCTCTTCCCCCTCGGGAGCTGGGGCCGTGGACAGGGGAAAGGGGGCTGTGGCTGGGACTGGGTAGCGCTCCCTCCCTTCCCCCAGTGGGTGCTGGCCCATGCCCTGCTGTGCCCCCTGAACATTCCTCCGCAACCCCCTATGGGGCGCATTCCACAGTTTGGGGACCTGTGGATTAGATAATTTAAATTACAAAGTAACTCATTCAATTGTTCATACAATCCAAACCACTAAACAAAATGAGATGGTTAGGACTTTAAAAGCAATAAGTGGTTTACTGTGTAAAGTTTAATGACAAATCAGACATTTGAAGACTTAGCCATGTAAGTGTAATTCATCACACTTTTTAAGAAATTTATATATGTACATAACTAGCATTGTCAGTTTAGAACCAGACTCTACACAATCAATACCTATGGGGTAATATAAAAAACACACAACTGACCTGTGATAAAATTGTCTAGTGTATGTTAAGACATATGCTAATATATCAATATTAGGGTTTATCCAGTTAAGAAGGTCGAAAGTTTCCTAATAATGAGTTAGCTGGCATTGCTCACAAAGCAATATAATTTTTGCACAACCCCTCCAGAAATCACAACATGCCATCTTTAATATGGTCCTGGCATACACACTCCAGATGAGCCAAGGTTATTCAAGGTCATATCTGAACCAAGATTCCTAAATGTGATGACACACGAAAGTAGTGGGGTCAAGTAGAACTCTTTTTTAAAATTAAACCCTAAAAAAGTCACTTATAAAAAAAAAAAAAAAATCTGTGCCATAATTTAATTATGCAGTTTTGATATTCAGCCCAATATTATATAGAATATTTTTAAACATTCAGTTTAAAGTTTTAACAAAAGAACAGCCATACTGGGTCAGACCAAAAGTCCATCTAGCCCAGTATCTTGTCTGTCAACAGTGGCCAATGCCAGGTGCCCCAGAGGGAATGAACAGAACAGGTAATCATCAAGCGACCCATTCCCTGTCGCTCATTCCCAGTTTCTGGCAAACAGAGGCTAGGGACACCATCCCTGCCTGTCCATTGGAATAGGTGTGTCATCTATCTCCCCTCCACAATTAGGGAATCCCACGGCCGCAAAGCCATTCACTATTTCATGCACATTGCCAAGAGCCACAGTCCTTCGTAGCAGGATGCCATCAATAGCTCTGCACACTTGCGTTAACGCAGCCCCAATGGTCAACTTTCCAACTCCAAACTGATTCGCGACCGACCAATAGCAGTCTGGAGTTGCCAACTTCCACACAGCGATCGCCACGAACTTCTCCACCAAGAGGGCGGCTCTCATTTTGGTGTCCTTGCGCCGCACACAGTTCCTGGAAGGTGGCTTTCTGCATCCCAAAGTTCTGCAGCCACTGCTTGTCATGCCAGACCTGCATAATGATGCAATCCCACCACTCAGTGCTAGTTTCCCAAGCCCAAAAGCAACGGTCCACCGTTTTAATTTAGAGAAAATAAAGCAAACTTTTTCAGAATATAAAGTGTTACAGTCTGCAATAAACTAAATAGTTCCATTTCTACTTCTATTAACAGGTAGGTAAAAGCAAGATGAAAAACTACCTATTTCTATAGCTTAATTATGCTTTGTAATTTGCAAATTATTAGAATTTCACTCTGCCAGTTAAATTACATTCTCAAAAAAACCCATTATGAAAATTTATCTCAATACAGCATGTGCACTAAGTAGACAGGCATACTTATTTGTTAAGTATACTTGGTTCAATGCAAGACACAGAGTAGACATGATCAGTGTAAATAGCTATATAACAGTAATATGAAAAGATACATGTATTAACTTATACTAAAATAATAAAGGCAATATAGACAGGAAAGTTACTAATCTTTTCAATTTAGTGACATCACAGAAACTAATTTTAATAAGTCGAAGCATAAAAAGTGAAAACACAAACATTACCTTCTACAGTGGTTGTTGTGGTCATTCTCTGAAAATACTTAAACTCATTCCTATCAATAGAACAAAAAAAAAAAATCACAATGTAGGTTTACTCAGAAAAATGTGTTGGATTTATTTTGTTGATAATAAAAATAGAATTTAAGTGAATTTTAAATATATGTAAGCAAGTTTATTGCCCGAGGTGCCATGCTGAAGTCCTCGATTCATCTAGGATGCATTATGCCAGATGCATAGAAAGCAACAGTGCAAGGCTGCGTACAGCCATGCCTGAAACCTGACCTTTGCGACCCAAGTCCCGGGGCAGTGAGTAATCGAGCCCCGCGCCTCGAACCCGCGCCCTGTTAGGAACGAGCCTGAGACCCATCACGCTCGTTTCCTGGAGGAGACGCCGCAGCCCAGCAGATGGCCCCTGTTCCGCTGCTACTAACCCGTCTGGTTTCAGACACCCATGGGCGAAAGGCCCCACGCAGTCCCGCCGAGCCGCCTCTGTCCTGCCTCGCGGCGCCGACAGCCCCCTCCCCGCAGACCGCACATCCCGCACGCCACGCTCCCTGTAGAGGCACCCGGCCCATGGGCACGGCCAGCACCGCGTGCCAGGTCTGCAGTCCGTTTGCGCAGCCCTCGCCCGGGTCGCGCTACCTGAGTGGGGGCCAAGGGAGGTCTCCGTTCTTCCCGATGCCCATGTTCTGGCCCACGGCGGCTATGAAGTTTAAGGGGCGGACCATGGCGCTTCCTTTCTGCTGTCACCTCCCGTCTGTTCAGCCTCCCGCTTCGGGCAGACTTGGGCCTTAGCGCGCCACCGCCCAGCCTCGGAGCGCTGACCATGCGCAGAGCGACACAGGCCTGCCGTGCTTGCCTTTTGGGGGGGAGGGGGAGGGACAGCATGCCGCTCACTGCAAAGCGTCACGTGACCGGACATCACCAATCACCTCTCTCTCCAGAGCCCCACCCCGGCAACAGTTCAACCTCTTTGCCTTCTAACTCCGCCCCTTTCCAACCTGCACGTGGTGCCGTGATTGCGTCACTGTTATGTTCGGCGGCGCGCGCAGGGAGTTGCGGGGTTTGGGCTGCTGGTTCCTGCGTTCCCAACCATGCCGCGCGGGCGAGAGCCCCGCGTCTCCGGACAGTCGGTGCTGAGTAAATTCTTCCGGCCGGTGGGGTCCCCGCGCGTAGCCGGGTCCTCAGCCGGCTCCGAGGCGAGCGGCGGCGAGGGGCTCCAGGCTGCGGCTCCGCACACGGTGCGCGTGGATGGGGCGCAGTGGCAGCCGGCGTGACGGGTGTAGGGAGAGGGACCGCTGGGCTGGGCGGGTGTGGGGCAGCAGCCCCGGGGCGGGTTTTTTTTAACGGGCTGTGTGACCCTGCAATAAACAAACCTCTGCCAGCGCCACGGCGGGCCCTGACCTACTCCCGGGGCCTCGGAGCCCCTCATGCCACCTCCACTTAAGTGCTGTGGTGCCTGGGTAATTGGTGTTATAATGCTGGGCTAGCTCCCTCATCCCTCCCGCCAGCAACACCACTACCAGAGCTGTGTGGCTGAAGAGTCCCCGGTTGTGGTGTTTTGCGTCTTGTCTACACTGTAATGCTTCTGATGACGACACTCTTAAGGACTAATCTACACTAAGCAACAGAGGGTCCTGTGGCACCTTTAAGACTAACAGATGTATTGGAACATAAGCTTTCGTGGGTGAATGCCCACTTCGTCGGATCTACACTAGAAATTAGAATTGTACAGCTGTACTGATGTAGCAGTGCAGCTAGCGCAGGTGCTCTATGCTGATAGGAGAGAGCTCTCCTGTTGGTATAATTACTCCACTTCCTTGAGTGGCAGTTGGTATGTCAGTGGGAGAGCTTCTCCCGCCAACATAGCACTGTCCACAATGATGACTAGGCCAGTGTAAGTTACGTTGCTCAGGGGGGTGGCTTTTCCACACCAAAGTAAGCCCTTAGTTGATGGGTGAGTGCTCGCCTGTCAGCTTAATAACTCCTGTTTCTGTGAGAGGTGGTAGCTATGTCGGTGGCAGAAGCTCTCCTGTGGACAAGCACTGTCTATACTGGTGTTTAGGTCAGTATAATTTATGTTGCTCAGGGGGGTGGATTATTCATAACGATGAGCGACATAAGTTATACTGAAGTAATTTGTAATGTAGACATAGCCTGAATTAAACTTCATTGTGAACTCATCACATACAATATTTACTTGGTAAGCGCAAAGCAGGCGAAACTTTGTTCCTTCTGTGTATATGATTAGGGTAGAGAGAGTAGTAACATCTCACTCTCTTCTCCCTAATTCAAATCTAGATAATGTAAGGTTTGAGAGAGAGAACTCAAAATAGCCAGGAAATGCAGTTAAGCAGAAAGTCTACATTTATTTCCATTTGCTTGTGCGCTGAGATATTGCAGACACACATAACCCAAGTGTAAGATGAACTCAAGCTTCTAGGAAACCCATGTCATTTGTTTGCTTATATTTAGTTTTTATAAAGCTGAAAGCTGAAAGGAACTAAATTTAAAATCAACTTTTCCAAATTATGCAAATCTCTCAGCCTAGGCACAATATCTTTTTTACCAAGTTCTGTATCATGGTGATTAATGATAATTTAAAAAATCAATTAAGAAAAAATATTTGCCCTGATTTAGTGGGTGTTCAGGATTTGATAAGGTTGCTTTAAGTTTATTTTCTGAGAGTTGTCCTATGTAAAAATCAAGATTCTTTGAAGTGGTTACTGCATATTCCCACTCCGTGAGTTGCACCCCCCTACTCCAGTTCCTCTAAGCTTTGGAAACTTTTTGGAAAGCAATGCTTTTTTGGGCCCACACAAGTACTATCTTTGCAGCAGCTGAGTTTATAAAAGAACTGTGTGACCCCAAGTGCCTAATTTTTTTTCCCTTTCCAGAGTCAGGTGAGCATATAAGGACATTTGTGTCTGGAGTGATTTTAGAGTCTTTTAAAAAAAAAAATTCCCAAATGTTATTAACTGTATTATAGATAGTAAGTGTTAAGTAGTTTGCTCAACTGCACAACTATGTTTCTATTCTTGACCCACTGTCCTGGAACATTTCTGGTCATTGTTGATCAGACCTCTAAAGACACAGGTAAGAAAGGCAGATTTAAGTGATGAGCATTTTGCCCTTCCATGTATTTGGAGGCAGGAATTATTGTTTTTCCCTTCCCATTCCTCTGTTTGCTGCTCATTTTGGAGGACCTTTGTATTGTAAACTTGCATCAACAAACAGCACTGATTCAGTGCCTTCCTTAATGAGGAGACCTTTCAAACTCAGTAGCTGGAAATAACATCTGAAGAGCTGTCTATTCCTGTGAAGGGACAGAGCAGGCTGCTTTCAGCTTGAAGGCAAATCAGGAATGACCCTGACACCCAACTCAGTGCCAGATAGAGTGGGGTCAGTGGCTTACTGGCAATGACAATTGAGACTTGTGGTTCTGGAACTTTACTAATAGCGAGGGAGGTTTAGGATTTTAAGAAACCACCAGAGCAGGCCCTTTATCATTGTTGGAAAGAAAGTTAGTGTAAATTGATGTTGCTCAAGCATTACTCTTGGGAGACTTCTGAGCCTAAAAATTCTGCACATAATATTGCAAAATTCTGCATATTTTATTTTTCAAAATAACACAATAGAATCATGGCAGTTTCAATTGTTTTGCTCATTTATTTCAAAATACCTGTCCACAGGAATGTCTGTAACAATACAAACAACAAAAGAAGATTCAGAAAATGTTTTCTGACAAATAGATTCCTTACTAGGCATATTAATACATTACTTTGAGTATCGGAGGCGTAGCCGTGTTAGTCTGGATCTGTAAAAAGTAACAAAGAGTCCTGTGGCACCTTATAGACTAACAGACGTATTGGAGCATAAGCTTTCGTGGGTGACTACCCGCTTCGTCAGATGCATTATTATTACTTTGAGTAATAATTTATTTAAACTACAGTACAGACACTCAGCCCCCCCTGCTCCCCCATCCCCATGTGTCCTTGTACCCCTGCCCCAGTCTGTCCCTCCCACTAGCCCTTCTGAACCCCAGTCTGATTCCCCAGCAGCCCCATGTGCCCCGCTCTGTCCCCTTCTCCCCCGTGCCTCCTAACATGTTGCATTCCTCACAGCACCCTCCTCCTCCCTATTGGCTACTGACTGCTATGGCTGCCCTCTGTTCTGGTGCAACAGCAGCCCCTGGTGGGTAAAAGGCGTAACTGCAGCACTTCTTCAGCAGAATATATCTTCTGCAGAGAAAAAAACAATCTGCGGGAGTCATGAATTCTGCATGTGCACAGTGGTGCAGAATTCCCTCAGGAATAAAGCATGGGTCTGACTTATTTGTATGCAGATATATCTCTGTCTCTCTCTCTCAGGAGCCTTCATTTCTTCCAATATCATCAGACCTTCTCTCTCAAGTCTTGTTTTCTAATCTAGAATCACTTTACCTTGCAGCATGGAGTATGATGTGGCATACTCTATAGATGTCTAGGAGATTTCTGCTGCAGTCTAGAAAAACATTTATACTACTCATCAGGGGAAAAAGTTTTCTTTGTGGGCAGTTGGTGTTCCATGCCCATATAATGTATTTTAGAGTCTTCATTGTTTTTTAATCTTTGAGCTTCCTTATCTGTCAGAGTGTTTTCAATGTTATCTCAACATATCTGCCAGTCAGCTTTTCTACTCTTTTTAGTCTCCTCACCCTCAAAAGATTCTTGAAAGGTGTGACTATCAGCTTTCTAGCAATCAGACATCTTGTTCTACGATGAACATCAATCTGCTGCTGCCATGAAGATATACTCACCTTTTGAGCCTTTTTGTCACTAAAGATAGGATTTTTTTTTAAATCAGAGTTACATCTGTGAGAAGAGTGAGTGAGTTGCAGGTTTTAATAGGTGGTCCTTCTTTAACTTTGTTTTGAAGAGACAAAATTGTCTTGTGTTCTCATCCCAAATTTAAATAAAAAATAATATCCAAGTTCAGACCACTAACCTTATGGTTAATTCCTCCTTGGGGAATCTAATCTAAAGAGGGCTTTTTATTTAGATAATTCTAAGAGATTTAGAAGGCTGTGTAAAGGGAATGCTATTTCTACTTCTGTTTAAGTGGATTAGGCTGTCCTATTTAGACATGTTATGCATTAGCTAAGGTGTCCGAGTGAGTTCAGAGAGCCTCAGGGACTGTCAGGACAACATTTATGCCTCCATAATGTTTCCACCATAAAAAATGTGCAGGGCTGCTATCTTGTGTTGTGTACACATTGACATGACTATACTCTCTTTACATGACATCTAGAACTGATGTTTACTTTGGGAAGGCAGTTTTACAATCTTTTTAATTAGATCCCCATAACCCATTTTAGCGCTGTGTTGTTTGCTAGATTCCCACAGAGTTCTGCTCAATGAAGAAACAGTGTTACAGTATTTTGAAAGTGTTGCTTCTGCTATCAGCCTGCTGTCCCCTTTCCTTGGAGTTCCTTGCTTGTAGGACTGAAATTTAGCAAGTAGAAGTAAGGTAACTGAGGCCACATGGCCATGATATAACCTTTGCCTAGAACAATTCAGAAGATGGTGCTCATGCAGCCTCACTGGGCAATACTTTTTAGAAAATTCTAGAAGCTCAGCTCTGTAGGGAGGTAAGGGGCACATCCCATACAGACAATGCTTTCAGAGAGTCATAGATATCATGGCAAGTGACTTTTTTTATAGCAGACTTTGAATTGGGTGCAGGATTAGATTAAGTTTTGACTTCCTCAGTGACATACCATCTGTTTTACACTGTCGTGTAAAATGTTACTACTCTTGGAAGTGCCAAAAGAGACCTTCATACATGCTTTTATACATATCTGGAACTGTAGAATGAAGTATGCACATGTGTTGTATATTACAAGAAATAGTCAAATATAAAGAAATAACGGAAACCGGTATACACATACAGTCTTTATCAGTCAGAATATTTTATGGATGAAGATGTTATAATATTCTGATCAATTTACTGACCATAGAAAGTTAAAGCTAATCGTTTTATCTGATTACATCGTTTAAGAATCAGCAGTCAAAAATACTTTTTAAAGGAAAAAAACCCAGAAATCAAACTAAAATAGACCATGGTAGTAAGACTTTTAAAAGTTTCAGATCTGTCTTCATATATTAGGCAAGTTCTCAAAGTCAAGTCTCCACCAACAAAAAAAAATGTTACTCATATTTGAAACATATATTAATATGAGTACATAGGAAAAATCTCATTGGTATGAGTAGCAACAAATAGTTAAAATCCTTTTTGATAAATTAACATTGAAATATTTTGTATTCATCACACTTTCTATGTACAAAGTGCTATGGATACAGAAAAGATAATTTTGTAAGTGGATTAGTTATGGATGGAAGATGCTGGATGGATAGTCCTGGTAACTAAAATCTTCTCTCTCCTCCCGGCAGATGCAACATTACCCAAACCAATATCCCTCAATCCTGTTCAGTTTACATGCACTATTAATTCTTGTCCTCTCTGCCAAAGAGCAAATAAACATACCACTTGTGCGGAGGTTCATAATGTGGATGTCTATTCACTGTGAGCTTTGAGGGGATCAAGGACTTTACCTTTTTATCTGCTTGTAAAGTGTTAAGATCACCTATGGCACTGTGAGGCCTCAGTGGCCTAAATTAGTCACCAATGAGCTCCCTGTAAGCCTGAGGGTGTCTGTGCAGAGCTCATTGCAGGGTGAAGGCCCAAGTCATTTCAAGTAGGGCAGTGAAAAGTTTTCTAATGGTAATGTTGGTCACAAAGGGTCAGAACCTAGTCCCATTAAAGTCAAAGGATGTTGCACCAGTTATTCTATTGGGATAAGGATTTTGTCTAACATGTAGACATAGTCGAGCCAGTGACCTGGAGACTGGAGCTATGTTGCAATAATACCTTGTTCTGTCTACTGTCTGTAGAATACACTAGTTACTCCTTGAGGAATTCTGTGCCAAAAAATTAAAATTTCTGCAACAAAATTTAAAAATTCTGTGCCCAATACTTTCAAATTCTGCATATTTTTTGTTGTTGAAATAACACAATGTAATCACACCAGTTTCAATTATTTTTGGTCATTATTTCATAATACCTGTCAGCAAGTATGTCTGTAACAATAAAGACAACAAAAAAAGATTCAGGAAATGTTTTTTGACAAATAGATTCCTTACTAGTCATATTAATACAGAACTCTGAGTAATAATTCATTTAAACTACAATACAGAACCGTATTTCCTGCACCCTGCAGAAGCAGTGCAAAAGCTTGGGGGAGTCAGGGGTAATGGAGGAGCTGAGGGAGATGGAAGTAATTGCTGGGAAGGAGCCTGGGAATGAACTTGGAGGGTTGTTGGGAATGGGTAGGAAAACTATGGAACAGTTTTTTTTGGGGAGAGAGGGCAGGGAGGGATAGTTAGGGAGCTTCCCCCATGCAGACCCTGGCTGACCCTTAGCCTCTCCCATTCAGTCAGGTACATCTGCTCCTGTCCTCATGTGCTCCTCCACCCCCACTCAGACACCCCTGCCCCCCCATCCCCAGGTGTCCTTGTACCCCCTGTCCACATGTGTCCCACTCAGACACCCACTCCCCCATCCCCATGTGGGTCTGCACTCCCTCTCCTGTTTCTATGTGTCTCTGTGATCTCACTCAGCCATCCCCCTTCTCCCATGTGGCCCTGCACCTCCCTTCCCCTTGTGGCTCTGCACCTCCACTCCCATTCAGCCTCTGCCCCAATCTGTCTTCCCCCACAAGCCCGTATGAACCCATCTGTGACCCCCTAGCCCCTGTCTCCTGATCTGGCCCGACAGGCACTGTGAAGAAGGCAGTTTTTTTCTCTTCCATAGCTGGCCAGGAGCTACTGCTCTGTTCTAGCACCACAGCACCCTCTGGTGGGCAAAAGGCAGAACTGCAGCAACTTTCTGACCAGTTTTTTTCTGCGCAAAAAATTAAAATTATGTGCGGCTCATTCATTATGTGCACATGCAGTGGCACAGAATTCCCCCAAGATTAACTAATTTTTTTATCTGTTTTGAAGAAATCTAACCAATTATAAAAACCATTGTATACATACATATACAGTTAGTTAATATGTAAATTGTTATGTATGTAAATGTTAATAGTAAAATAGCAAAGAATTCTAAGTGTTATATAGAAAATTAAATTGGTGTTTTTACTTTATTGTGCAGAGATAAAGTTTGTTCTTTGGGTGTCTATTTTTCATTCTTCCAGCATATGACAAGGGAAGAAAATAAACTAACTTTTAAAAAATTAATGTTTTAGACTTCTAAGTCTGGCAGAAATAAGAGAAGAGCTGTTGAAAACAATGAACCTAGTAAAAAGAGGACAAAACCAGTACAAACTAATAGAAAAGAAGGCCATGATGCAGTGAAGATTCTTGACGTTGGTGAGTTCATTGTAAATAAAAACTTGCAGGCACTGAAACTGAGTAAAAGTTATTAATTGTCAAAAGTTAAAATTACATTGTCATATAGTTTAGGACAGGGGTCTCAAACACGCGGCCCGCGGGGTGATTTTCTGCGGTCCGCGAGCCCCTTGCAGCCCCCCCCCCGCCTTCCCCCAGTGTTTACCAGAGCGGCTCCGGCCGGACATGCACCGGGAGCAGGGCATGCTCCCTGCCTGCCTGCCCTGCCCTGCGCAGCTCCGTGAAGAGGCTGGAACGTGGGGAAGGGGGGGCGGAGGGGCTGTGTGTGGCTGTTGCTTCGGGCAGCGCTCCCAGCAGCTCCCATTGGCCGGGAACGGGGAACCGCGGCCAATGGGAGCTGCTGGCGGCGGTGCCTCAAGCAACAGAAACACACAGCCCCTCCGCCCCCCCCTTCCCCACGTTCCAGCCTCTTGCGGGGGCAGGGCAGGCAGGCAGGGAGCCTGCCCTGCCCCCGGTACGTGCCGGGCCAGATCCTGCCCCCCAAGCCCCTCCTGCAGCTGAACCCCCTGCACCCCGACCCCCTGCTGCCCTCTGCACCCTGACCCCCTGCCATACCCTGCATCCCTCCTGCACCCTGACCCCCTGCCTCACCCACACCCCTCCTGCATCCTCTTGCACCCCAACCCCCTGCTCTGAGCCCCCTGCCGCACCCTGACCCCTTGCTGTACCCCTCACCCCTCCTGCACCCCACATCCCAACTCCCTGCCCTGAGCCCCCACCACACCCCTCCTGCACCCCCTGGGGGCAGGGAGGGCGCAGAGTTGGGGTGGGGATTTCGGGGAAGGGGTTGGAATGGGGGCAGGGAACGGGTAGGAAGAGGCGGGGCAGGGGTGGGGCCTCATGGAATGGGTGGAGCGGGGGCGGGGCCGAGGGCGGCAGGGGAGGGAGGTGTCAGTAATGCGGCCCTCGGGCCAATGTACTAGTCCTCATGTGGCCCTCATGGTCATGTGAGTTTGAGACCCCTGGTTTAGGAACTGGCATTTAAATTCAATGTATATATTTTAAAGTGCCGTTAGTTGTTGAGAAATCATAGCTGCTAATTATGTTGAAACTAATTTAAGAAAAAGGTTGTGTTCTCTTTCTGCACCAAGCATTTAACTAACAAATTAATGTTGGTAGAAAAACAAGGCAGTTTCATTAACGCCATTAAAGATTTTGAGGAAAGAATCCTTTTCAAAATAGAAAGGGATTGTATTGATGTGGAACAGCACTTTTATAGAGCTTGAAAGTACATCAGAAATAAGAGTGAAAAAATGTCGAGACGTACTATCAACTTGAAATATAGTGTGTTTAAAAAATAAGTAGCTAAAGTAGTTTCACATGGTACACTGGCCTCAGATCCCCTACTGATTTTGTAGCTTTGCAGTTACTTTGCTCTATTTAAAAATAAAATAAAAGCATTTTTTTGCCTTCGGTGTGAGATACACACAAACAGGGGAAGCTAAGGCCCAGATCCAAAAAGGTATTTAGGCACCCAAACCCTAGATTTAGGCACTTTTACAATTCACAAAACCCCCACTCAGCTGCCACCTAATCCTATAGCTGCCTAAACTCAGTCGGCGCCTACATTTTTGCTGTAAAAGTTCCCTAGATGCCTACGTTTCTGCTTGTGGGCTTGTGCACTGCCGCCCACTCTAGGCAATGTGATTCTCATACCAGGGGAGGATAGATATTCCTGCAGAGCATGGTCCAGTAGGTGTGCTCTGAGTATGTGTACTTGACTGGGCCCCATTCAAAAATCCAGATGGAGGAGGAGCATCCCAGATAACCAGGGGTGAAAGTAACTTAAAGGACTTATCAGTACGCCAGAGTCCTGAGCAGGGGGTGTGGCCTCAACCGGAAGAGGCAGGGCCTTTAATTCAAGATTTAAAGGCCCAGGGGCTCCGGCTACTGCTACTGCAGCGGAGCTCCGGGCCCTTTAAATCGCCAACAGAGCCCTGCCGCCACTACCCTGGGGCTCCGGCAGTGGGTCTCGGGCAGCGCTTTAAAGGGCCCGGGGCTCCCTGTAGCGGCCGGAGCCCCTGGCCCTTTAAACTGCCAGCCTGGGGAAGCCGTGGTCCAGCACGGCATACTGGCTCTTACCGGTACACCGTACTGGCTTACTTTCACCTCTGCATATAACTTACCCCACTGGTTAGAGCACTCGGATACAATTCCTTTCTCTGTCTGATGGGGAGAGAGGATTTGAACAGGCATTTCCCACCTCTCAGGAGGATTCCCTAACGGCTGTGCTATAGGAGACTCCCGTCAGAGTATTCTTCAGTCTCTCCTGTTGCAGCTGTTCCTCTTTCGATAAGTGTGTGACTGAGAATGGTTCTGTAGCCTTGTGGTTAGGGCATTCATGTGGGAGGTGGGAGATCCAGTCCCTCGGCTCCAAAGACTATTGTCTCCTGGCAGCCTGGATGCCCCCCTTTCTTTGGCATCTCCCTTAGGTGGCTCCCCACCTAGTATGTTGGCTTTTGTGGATCTCTTTCTTAGGTGCCTGTCTCTCCCCATTCATTGTATAAGGAGGCTAGGCACCTAGCTCAGGCTTTGTGATCCTTTTGTTGTTCCACTGATTTTCTAGATGCCTGAATGTTAGTCTCTTTGTGGACCTGGACCTCCCGGATTATACAGGGGAAATAGTGAAGCTGATTATACACAAAGTTCTGTTGCATTCACAAAATAAGCAAACTGGAATTTTTTTTCTCTCTAATGTCTTCCAAGACATTATCTAAGGCCTGGTTGACACTAAAAAGTTAAGTCGACCCAGCTACATCATTCAGGAGTGTGAAAGAGCCACATTCCTGTGTGATGTAGTTAAGCCAGCCCAATCCCTGTTGTAGACAGCGCTAGGTCAGTGGAAAAATTCTTCTGTTGACCTAGCTACAGCCTCTCTGGGAGGTGGATTACCTACGCTGATGTGCTACAGCAGCACTAAGGCTATTTCTGCACTTAAAACGCTACTTAAAACGCTATAGTGGCACAAATGCAGCTGTGCTGCTGTAGCACTTCATTGTAGATACTCACTACAGCTGCAGGAGGGGTTCTCCTGTCACTGTAGTTAATCCACCTTCCAGAGAGGCAAGTAACTAGGTTGATGGAAGACCTCTTCCATTGACCTAGAGCTGTCCACACTGGGGTTAGGTTGGCATAGCTACATCTCTCACAAGTATAGATTTTTTTACACCCCTGAAAGACATAGCTATGCCCATGTAAGCTTTTAGTGTAGACCAGCCCTCAGGTAGGTGTTAATTGTAGCAAGAGTAGATTAAAAATAGTCAGAAGTGTGATTTTTTTAAGTTGACCCTGTTTCTTTATGTAGCTATGTAAATATTAGTTGTTTTAGACTGATTATGGTTTAATGTTAATGTGAATGTAATCTTTACTACAGTTACACAAATAGTTACTCTGTTTTATTATTCTAGTTATTTAGATGAATATTTATGCTAGATTAATGAGGTTGGGTAAGATACTGAGTGCCGCCTTCTTTTGTAATGCAGCACACTGCCTGGTACCCTTTAATTGCCCACTCCAGACCCTTTGCGCAGAACAATCTACTCCAGACCCTTTACACAGAACAATCTACTCCCAGGTGTCCACTTCATTTCAAGTGACTGCCTGCAACATGCATTACTCCTTTTGCTTAACCACCTGTCCCAATTTATATTTAGCACAGACACTATCCATCCTTCCCCAGACCTGAAGAAGAGCTCTGTGTAGCTCAAAAGCTTTTATCTTCCACTAACAGAAGTTGGTCCCATAAAAGATATTATCTATCTTGTCTTTCTCATCTTTGATGTCAATCTCATTGAAATCTTAATTGCAAGGTAATTTGCTAATACATTTTCCTTGTGTATTTTTACTAATGAAGAAGAGCCTAAGAAATGTACCAGGCCCTGCATATGTGTGAAAACATTAAACAAACTGAGAGAATTCTGCAGTGATTCAAAGCACCCATGTAACAGAGTCCAGGTGGATACTTTACGAGGGAGTCAATCTGTGCACTTGGAAAAATGTCCGACTTTTGTGGAAAGAACCCTGGAAATAAATAGTGCTCTTCATTCTCAGGACACAGGTTCTCAGATCAGTGAGAAGGTATGCAGTGCTTCTGTTCCAGGAATCATTGAATTACAGTGCAGTTTGGAGTGCTTTTTATGTTTAAAATACAGGCTTTGTTATTGGGTTTTTCTTAAGTTCAGTGTGACAGAATGCAACATGAAATTATGCAGTACTGTACCAATGATAGAATCTGACATTCATATTCTAACATTTTACTGAACTCTTAACACAGTAAGCAAAACAGCGCTTGATAGTCTTCAGTGACATTCTTAAACAGTGCAACTGAAGTTTTAATAAAAAGAACGAGGAGTACTTGTGGCACCTTAGAGACTTTCAAATTTAGTTCTTTTTGCTGATACAGGCTAACACGGTTACCACTCTGAAGTTTTAATGAAATTTGTTTTAAATAAGAAATGTTTAAAGATTAGAATATAGAAAATGGTGGTAACAGCCTGTACTTTGGATGTTGGTGAGATTATTCGCATTTACATACAGAATGGGAAGAGACTGTCTAGAAAGGAGTATGGCAGAAAGGGATCTAGGGGTTATAGTGGACCACAAGC